TGTCTCCTTTTTTGGTATTTTCATGCAAATTCTTCTGCTAGTTGGGGTTTAGTCCACGTCTATATCCTTCCCTTCAAGGCTCAGGGGTCCAGGATTATCCTCTGTGTCTGTGTAATTGGTTTCCCTTTTCTTTGTTGAAGAGGGTCTGTTCAGTCTTTCTGCCTAGTACGCCATCTTGCGCGAGTCTTATCCTCTTGTAAGGCTATGACTCAAGACATTGCACATTAATCCTACCTTATTGTCATATAAAATGGAGGCAGATCACAAAATGGAAGACAACTGCACCGTATTGGGAATCATGTATTAGCCAAGTTGACGCATGTTTTTCGGAGGCCAAATTCAATCCACGACATTGTTGTTCTCTGTTCTTGACATGTATTACTTTCTTTATGTATATTATTTAATCCTCACAACAATCTTAAGCTATATAACTAGGTCTGTTTCGTAGGTGAGGAAACTGTCAGCGAGGTTAAGTATTTGTCCTAAGATTGCATAGTTAACAGATGATGAAATTGGCAAGAGAATGTAAAAAAAAATTAAAAGAAAATTTTGCAAAAAGGAAAAAATACCTATAATCCCTAGTATTCTAACACTTCCATCATAATAATTTTTGGCATACATATGCAAATATTTTCACATGTATCACATGTATTTATTATATCATGCTAAGTTTGACATAAACTTTTTCTGTGTTTGTGTTTCAGTTTTATAACTGATTGTAACAGCTATATGATAGTCCATGGACTTAGTGTGTATACTATCATATATTGTTGTTAGGTGCTGTTAAGTCACCTCTGACTCATAACAACCATTAGTACAACAGAACAAAACACTGCCCAGTTGTGTGCCATCCTCACAATCTTTGCTGTGCTTCAGCTCTCCGTTGCAGCCACCATGTCAGTCTGTCTTGTTGAGGGCCTTCTTCCCCTTTTTCACTGACCCACCACTTTACATCATATCCTTCTCCAGGGAATGGTACCTTCTGATAGTATGACTAAAGTAGGTGAGATGAAGTCTGGCTATTCTCACTTCCAAGGAACATTCTGATTGTACTTTTTTCAGGATATATGTGTTTATTCTTCTGGCAGTCTGTGGTATTTCCAGTATTTTTGTTTTCTTTTTTTTTTTTTAATTGTGATTTGGGTGGAAATTTACAGAGCAAATTCACTTTTCATACAGCTATTTTCAGTATTCTTGACCAACATCATAATTCAAAGGCATCACCTCTTCTTTGGTCTTTCTTATTTAGTCATAGACAATCATATAGTTTACTTTAATGAAGAACATGGTGTAGTCTCAGCCCCATGACTTTACTATGTAGTGTATAAGTAGGGTTTTTTCCCTGGGTTTTTTTCATTTTGAAATATGACACATAGATTTTATGCTGGATATTTTCTGTTTATGCCTGCTCTGTGCCCTAGAAGCCTGCTTAGTTGGCAACATTGCCCTCTGTGTTTGTGTTGGTCTTGGCCAGTTTGGGGCAGCAGCAGGAGAATAAAGGAATGGAGGAAAGTGAAATTGCAATCTTTGTTTCTCTGTCTCCTTCCTGCTGGGTCACTGCAGGTAGAGGCATCCTTCTGTGAAAGGCCATTACCCTGGCCAGTTGGTCTACCTCTGGGCTGTGGCACTCACTCAGGCTTCTTTCTCTTTCAGCATGGTATTGGGCCCCTACTGTCACTACTTTAGGTACTGCCCTCTCCCTGGGTGCTCTTCCTGTCCACACCTTTGTAAGTCATTTTGCTGTAACTTTCCTCAATTACCCAGCTTGAGTGTGTCATCTGTTTCCTTCCAAAACCCTGTCTGATAAAATATGAAAATCATTTTTTTAAAATTCA